AAGACTAATCTACTTTCTGTCCCTATGGATTTGTTTATTCTGGACATTTCCTATAAATGGAATCCTACAATATGTGGCCTTTTATGACTGACTTCTTTCACTTGGGAAAATGTTTTCAAGGTTCATCTATATTGTAGCATTTAGCACTATTTCATTCCTTCTTCTGGCAGAATAATATTCTGTTGTATGACTGTGCTGTATTTTGTTTACCTGTTTGTCATTGATAGACATTGGGTTCTCACTACTTTTTGTCTGTTTTGAATAATTCTGCTATGAACATTTGTGCACAAGTTTTGTTTTAGGTATAATTGACACAACATTATACTAGTTTCAGGTGTACGACATAATGATTCAATATTTGTATGTATTGCAAAATGATCACCACAGTAAGTCTACTTTCACCTCCGTCACCATACGTAGTTACAAATTTATTTTCTTGTGATGAGAACTTTTTAGATTTACTCTTCTTAGCAGCTTTCAAATGTGTACTACAATAATTTTTTTTTTTTTTTTTTTGCGGTACGCGGGCCTCTCACCGCTGTGGTCTGTCCTGTTGCGGAGCACAGGCTCTGGACGCGCAGGCCCAGCGGCCACAGCTCATGGGCCCAGCCGCTCCGCGGCATATGGGATCCTCCCTGACCAAGGCACGAGCCCGCCTCCCCTGCATCGGCAGGTGGACTCTCAACCACTGCGCCATCAGGGAAGCCCATACTACAATAATATTAACTGTAGTCACCATGCTGTACGTTACACCTCTGTGACTTTTTAATTTTTTTAAATTAATTTATTTATTTTTGGCTGCATTGGGTCTTCATTGCTGCACATGAGCTTTTCTCTAGTTGCAGAGAGCAGGGGCTACTCTTTGTTGTGGTGCATGGCCTTCTCGTTGCGGTAGCTTCTCTTGTTGTAGAGCACAGACTCTAGGCATGCAGGCTTCAGTAATCGTGGCATGCAGGCTCAGTAGTTGTGGCTTATGGGCTCTAGAGTGCAGGCTCAGTAGTTGTGGTGCATGGGCTTAGTTACTCTGCGGCATGTGGGATCTTCCCAGACCAGGGCTCGAACCTGTGTCTCCTGCATTGGCGGGTGGATTCTTAACCACTGTGCCACCAGGAAAGTCCCCCTAATTTATTTTTGTAACTGGAAGTTTGTACCTTTTGACCCCCTTCACCCATTTTGATCCCTCTCCTCCCCATCCCCCTGCCTGGCAATCACCAATCGGTTCTCTGTATCTGTGAGCTTGGGGGGTTTTTTTGTTGGGTTTTTTGGGTTTTTTGGGGGTTGGTTTTTTGATTCCACATGTAAGTGAGATCATAAGGTATTTATTTGTCTTTCTCTGTCTGACTTATTTCACTAAGCGTAATGCTCTCAAGGTATCCATGTTGTCACAGATGGCAAGATTTCATTCTCTTGTATGGCTAAATGATATTCTATTGTGTCTATATACCATATTTTCTTTATCAGTTCATCCATTGTTGGACATTTAGGTTGTTTCCATGTCTTGGCTGTTGTAGATAATGCTGAAGTGAACATGGGGGTACATATATCATTTTGAATTAGTGTTTTTGTTTTCTTTTGAATAGATACCAAGAAGTGGAATTGCTGGAAAATATGATAATTCTATTTTTAATTTTTTGAGGAATCCCATGCTGTTTTCCATAGTGGCTGCACCAATTTACATTCCCACCAACAATGTACAAGGGTTTCCTTTCTCCACATCCTCAACAACACTTACTTGCTGTCTTTTTGATAATAGCCATTCTAAGAGGGATGGGGTGATATCTTATTGTGGTTTTGACTTGCATTTTTCTGGTGATTAGTGATGTTGAGCATCTTTTCATGTACCTGTTGGCCATCTCTGTGTCTTTGGGAAAATGTCTATTCAGATCCTCTACTCATTTTTTTTTAAATTAGTTTATTTATTTATTTATTTTGGCTGCATTGTGTCTTCGTTGCTGAGTGCAGGCTTTCTCTAGATGTGGTGAGCAGGGGCTACTTTTCGCTGTGGTGCTTGGGCTTCTCATTGCAGTGGCTTCTCTTGTTGTGGAGCATTGGCTCAGTTGTGGCTTACGGGCTCTAGAGTGCAGGCTCAGTAGTTGTGGCACAGGGGCTTAGTTGCTCCATGGCATGTGGGTTCTTCCCAGACCAAGGATCAAACCCATGTCCCCTGCATTGGCAGGTGGATTCTTTACCACTGTGCCACCAGGGAAGTCCCTCTGTTCATTTTTAATCAGAATTTTTTTTTTTTTTTTGCTATTGAGTTGTGTGAGTTCTTTATATATACTTTGCATATTAACCCCACATCAGATATATGATTGGCAAATATTTTCTCCCATAGGTTGCCTTTTGTTTTGTTAATGGTTTCATTTGATGTGCAGAAGCTTTTTAGTTTGATGTAGCCCCATTTGTTTATTTTTGCTTTTGTACCTTTGCTTTTGGTGTCAAATCCAAAAGATCATCACCAAGACTGGTGTCAAGGAATTTGCTACCTATGTTTTCTTTTAGAAATTTTATGGTTTTAGGTCTTATGTTCAAGTCTTTAACTCATTTTGAGTTAATTTTTGTAAGATAGTTGTCTAGTTTCATTCTTTTGCATGTGGCTATGCAGTTTTCCTAACACTATTTATTGAAGAGACTGTTCTTTCCCCACATATATTTTGACTCCTCTGTCATAAACTAATTGACCAACAATGCGTGGGTTTATTTCTGAGCTTTCTGTGTTGTTCCGTTGATCTGTGTGGTCTGTTTTTATACCAATACCATACTGTTTTGATTACTAGCTTTGTAATGTAATTTGAAATCAGAAAGCATGATGCCTCCAGCTTTGTTCTTATTTCTCAAGACTGCTTTGGCTATGCGGGGTCTTTTATGGTTCCATACAAATTTTAAGATTTTTGGTTCTATTTCTGTGAAAAATGTCATTGAAATTTTGATAAGGATTGCACTGAATCTGTACTACTTTGAGTAGTGTGGACATTTTATTCATTTTTATTTATTTTGGCTGCCCTGGATCTTAGTTTTGGCATGCTGGATCTTCGTTGAGACATGTGGACTTCTTAGTTGCAGCATGCAAACTCTTAGTTGTGGCATACATGTGGGATCTAGTTCCCCAACCAGGGATCGAACCTGGGCCCCCTGCATTGGGAGTGTGGAGTCTTACCCACTGGACCACCAGGGAAGTCCCAGTGTGGACATTTTAACAATAGCATTGTAACAGTCTGTGAGCACAGAATATCTTTTCATTTATTTGTGTCTTATTCAGTTTCTTTCATCAGTGTTTCAGTGTAGGTCTTTCACCTCTATAGTTAAATTTATTCTTAGGTATTTTATTCTTTTTGATGTGATTTTAAACAGGATTCTTTCCCCCTAATTTCTCTTTCTGGTAGTTTGTTATTAGTGTATAGAAACTCAACAGATTTTTGTATGTTGATTTTTCTATCCTGCAACTTCACTTAATTCATTTGTTATTTTTTGGTGGAGTCTTTAGTGTTTTTCTGTATATAATATCATGTCATCTGCAAATAGTGACAGTTTTATTCCTTTCTTTCCAGTTTGGGCGCCTTTTATTTCTTTTTCTTGCCTAATTGCTCTGGACAAGATTTCAAGTACTGCTTTGAATAGGAGTGGTGAGAGTAGGCATCCTTGTCTTATTCCAGATCTTAGAAGAAAAGCTTTCTGCTTTTCACCATTGAACATGATGTTAGCTGTGAGCTTGTCATATATGGCCATTATTACATTGGGATGCATTCCCTCTATACCTACATTTTTGAGAGTTGTTAATCATAAGTAGATACTGCATTTTGTCAAATCCTTTTTCTGCATCTATTGAGATGATTTTTAGTCATTCTGTTAATGTGGTGTATCACACTGATTAATTAGTGAATGTTGACCCATCCTTGCATCCCTGGAGTAAATTCCACTTGATCATGGTGTATGATCCTTTTAATGTGCTGTAGAATTTGGCTTGCTAGTATTTTTTTTCAGAATTTTTGCAGCTGCATTCATTAGGGATTGTGGCTTGTAATTTTTTTTGTGGCATTTTTGTCTGATTTTGGTATCAGGGTAATGCTAACCGTATAAAATGAGTTTGGAAGTGTTCCCTGTTTTTTGGAAGAGTTTAAGAAGGATTGGTATTAGTTCTGGTTTAAATGTTTGATAAGATTCACCAGTGAAGCCATCTGATCCTGGACTTTCATTTGTTGGGAATTTTTTGATTATGAATTCAGTCTTGATAACTTACCAGTAATGTATCAGATTTTTTTTTTCCTCACCATTGAGTTTTTTCGATTATATGTTGCCAGGAATTTATCCATTTCTTATAGGTTGTCAGATTTGTTGGTGTTTAATTGTTTGTAGTAGTCTCTCATGATCCTTTGTATATCTGTGGTATCAGTTGTAACGTCTTCTATTTCATCTTTGATTTTAGTTATTTGTGTCCCCTTCTTGGTGAGTGTGCACAAGTTTTTTGTGGGTTTTTTTTTTTTTTTTTTTGGTACACAGATGTTTATAGCAGCATTATTCATGATAGCCAAAGGTGGAAATGACCCAAATGTTCATCAGTGGACAAACAGATTAAAAAAGTATGGTATGTCCATAAAATGGAATAGTATTTAGCAGTAAAACAGAATAAAGTACTGACATATACTACAACTTGGACAAGCCCTGAAAAACTATGCCATATAAAAGGAGTCAGTCATAAAAGTCTACATATTATATAATCTCATTCATATGAAAGTCCAGAATAGGCAAATACATAGGCACAGAAAACAGATTAGTGGTTGCTTAGGGCTGGGCGGGGAGTGGGGGAACTAGGAAGGGAGGAAGGTAGGAAGGTAATAGCTAAAGGATATAGGGGGTTTTTTAATTGAAGTATAATCGACATATAACATTTTATTGGTTTCAGGTGTACAACATGATTCGATATATGTATATATTGTGAAATGTTCATTACAGTAAGGCTATGTGAACAAGTTTTAATTTCTCTTTGATTTATATATATGTTTTAATTTCTTTTGGGTATAATATAGGTTATATAGTAAATAAAATATTTTAAATTTATGGCATGAATATGTTCCATTATTCTTTAAAGCACCTGTATTTATTTAAAATTGGTATGATTCTTTTTTTTTCAGCGAGTACTAAGCCATCAAGATGATACAGCTTTGCTAAAAGCTTATATTGTTGAATGGCGAAAATTCTTTACACAGTGTGATATTTTACCGAAGCCTTTCTGTCAACTAGAGATTACTTTAATGGGTAAACAGGGCAGCAATAAAAAATCAAATGTAGAAGACAGTATTGTTCGGAAGGTAAGTTAGTTTTCCCATTTTTCCCTAATGTTCTTCAGAAATAGGGTGAGTTGAAGACTTTTGAAAGAAATTTACACTGAAATGAGTTTTTCTACTTCACATATAAATTCCTTTTCAGCTTTTCCCGGGTTTTATTGAATAATATTAGTTTTCTTTCGTCTTTTTTTAGCTTCAATTCTCTTTCATCTTTTATATGGTCTTAAGCTGTAAATTTGTGTCTTCAAACATTACCTCGTTTGCTTTTCCTTTTCACTTTCTCCTTTTCCTAGTTTTATCTTCATAATTTTATTTCATTATTCTTTCTCTGTACTTTTACCTTTCTATAAATTCAATTACTTTTTTTCTGTTCAAAAAGTCTTTCCTTATTAGGTTACCTTCTGGTATCTTTGTGTTTAATTGTGACTAAACTGCTGTCATCTTTATCATTTTTTTACTTAATTCTAGTTATTATAAACTCAGTATGTACCATGTTTATTTTCATATTTTGCATAGTTTCTAGTTAAAAGCTCTGTGCCCAGTAACAACTCATGAATTAATGGAAAGAACTCAGCTCTGAAATTGAAGAGTCCCAGGTTTCCCTTTCAGTTCTTCAGTCAATAATGCCCTAAGCTTGCTGTCCTCATTTTTCATATTCATAAATACACACACACACACACACACACACATACATACACGCACATGTATTTCTACTTGTGAGAATCAAATGGAACCACAGATTTGAAAAGTAAAAAATGCCATTTGAACTTTGAACAACTCACTGCTTGCTGTGATGGTTCTAGCAATCAGCTCAGGCATTTAAATAGTGTTGCTCCTTCCCAGCCTTAAAATTTGTACTAGGGCTTCCCTGGTGGCGCAGTGCTTGAGAGTCCGCCTGCCGATGCAGGAGACGCGGGTTCGTGCCCCGTTTCGGGAAGATCCCACATGCCGCGGAGCGGCTGGGCCCGTGAGCCATGGCCGCTGAGCCTGCGCGTCCGGAGCCTGTGCTCCGCAAATGGGAGAGGCCACAACAGTGAGAGGCCCGCATAACGCAAGGAAAAAAAAAAAAAAAAAAAAAATTTGTACTAATGCTGACAGCATACTCATGAATACGTATATGCCATTTTCATCATTTAAACAGAACATCCATAGGGTGGATTTGTATGTTCTTTTCTTTTTGAGATTCATTATCAAACATATTTTCATTTGGTCCTTTTCACATTTATCATATACTTGTACAAACATTCATATGACCATCCCAAACACATATCAGTATCTCTGAAATACAGCCTTGGAACTATAGGGAACGTAACATTTTCCATGTATTACCATATTTAATTTTTACAACAACCACTTGAAATTTGTACTGTTATTTTCACTATTTTACAGAAGAGAAAGCAGGCAAATAAGTAACAGCTGGAATTCAAATCCAGTTGTGTTTGATTCTGAAACACTTGTTCTTTTGTCAGTATTTACCACATGATATTTACCAAATTTAAATATACTGCTTTCCTGGGACTTCCTTGGTGGCGCGGTGCTTACAAATCCACCTGCCAGTGCAGGGGACATGGGTTGATCCCTGGGCCGGGAAAATCCCACCTGCCGCAGAGCAGCTAAGGCTTGCACCACTACTACTGAGACTGCACTCTAGAGCCCACAAGCCATAACTGCTGAGTCTGTGTCCCACAACTACCGAAGCCCGCGCACCCTAGAGCTCACGTGCCGCAACTGCTGAGCCCATGCACTGCAACTACTGAAGCCCTTGTGCTCTAGGGCCTGAGTGCCACAACTACTGAGCCCACATGCTGCAACTACTGAAGCCCAGTGCACCCAGCCTGTGCTCCACAACAAGGGAAGCCACCGCAATGAGAAGCCCACACACCGCAATGAAGAGTAACACCTGCTCACCACAACTAGAGAAAGCCTGCACGCGGCAACGAAGACCCAAAGCAGCCAAAAATAAATTTAAATAAATAAATAAATAAATATGTTGCTTTCCTGTAGTATTCAAGTGAATGTAGGTCTAAGAATTTTATTTCCTTTTTTAGCATTTGTACTTAAAATTTTTTGTGTGTATTTATGGTACTTGGTATATTAATAATTGAAATGATGGCATATTTTCTTCCTTTTTTCCTAGCTCATGCTTGATACATGGAATGAGTCAATCTTTTCAAATATAAAAAACAGACTTCAAGATAGTGCAATGAAGCTGGTACATGCTGAAAGATTAGGAGAAGCTTTTGATTCTCAGCTTGTCATTGGAGTAAGAGAATCCTATGGTATGTTCTGAACCTTTATGATCAAATTTCCTTTTCATGGAAATTAAGACAATTATAGAATAGTAGTCTCAAAGTTATGTTTATTAGAATATAGTCACATCTACTTTTAGTGCCACATGAAATTAAGAGTACACAAAAGATATTCTGTTTTAATGAAAACTACAAAAGTTTATATTCGTGTGGTTAATATTTATTTTCTCCATTTCACTCATTTCTCGGCTAGTGAATCTTTGTAGCAACCTATATTAGAGAAATGTAGATTTGAGTCTCTAGCTTATGAAAGTTAACTGGTTTTGCACTTATATTTTTAGGACATCAGTTTATTCCATGTGTACATTCTGGAATTTCTAAACTTTTCAGTGTCTGATAGTGATACTCTCATTTTTCATTCAATCAAATGTGCTGTTTCCTCTGACCAGAATACTTTTCTTCCTCTTTTATTTGCTAACTCATCCTCATTCTCTGTTTCCTCGTGGAGGCCTTTCCTAATTCCCAGAGTAGGTTAGGTGCTTTATAGTACCTGTGCTTCCCTGTCGTAATACTTCAGTGTTTTTAATTGTGTTCTTGACACTATATCTTTACTGAACATAGAACGCCTGATGCAAAATAGTTGCCGATAAAAAAGTTTTATATAAATGAACCTTTATTTATCTTTGACTTGCTTTCTCCATTGCCATTGTGTTTCTTTAGGTATCAAGTCTAGATTTTCATTAGCCGTGTCCCTGAAATTTATTTCTTTTTATTTCAACTGCTACCAGTTAAGACTTCTTTGAATTCTACTTCTAGACTTTTCAAACAGTCTTCTTATAGTGATGTTATTGCTATCATTTAGCCATTATACTTTCACAAGATTAATTTTTAAGTATAATTTTATTGGTGTTTTTCTTACCCATTTAGTGGTAGGCCATGCTAAATTCAGGTTACTTAGCCAGCGATTTGAGGTTCTCTATAACCATTCCTAACTTACTATTCTACCTTACCTTCTATTAACCTTACAATCCATGCAGACAACCTCGTTGTTATACCTCGATTTAATCTTGTGTTGTTCTTCTGAATATTTACTTCCTTTACCAATCAGTGTAAATCCTACTTTGTTCCTAAAGACTCAATTCAAATCGCATCTTTTCTGTAAATGGTTTCTTGATCATCCAGTTTGAAGTCAGTCTCTTTCCTATTCAAAAATAAAATAGTTCATGTTACCTATACTATTTGTCACTTTACTACTCTGTACTGTTATCTTTTTAAGTTTCTTATAGAGAAGGATTTTGTCTTTCATGGCTTTATGTTCTCTTGAGCATTGTCACAGTTCCTTGAACATGACTCCTCAATATTTGTTATTTCATTTATTGTACTCAAAATACTGATTTGAATCATAATTAGAGTAAAATTTTATTTTCTGTTTTTCAGTTAACCTTTGTTCTAATCCAGAGGATAAGCTTCAAATTTATAGGGACAATTTTGAGAAGGCATACTTGGATTCAACAGAGAGATTTTATAGAACACAGGCACCTTCGTATTTACAACAAAATGGTGTACAGAATTATATGAAATATGTAAGTGAGAACTTAGTATATGTCGTAATTTGAGCTATTTTCTTGATTTTCTTAAAATGATTGCTATTTTGCTTCTGGACAGGCAGATGCTAAATTAAAAGAAGAAGAAAAACGAGCCCTACGTTATTTAGAAACAAGGCGAGAATGTAACTCTGTTGAAGCAGTAAGTAATTTTGTAATTGTTTATTCTTTGAGATTATTTGAAGTACAGTAGCCCAGGGGTGGTATATACATGAAGCAAGTAACATTATTTATCCTCACTTCTGTGACCAATATTACTAATTGATTTTAGTACTCGTTCCCAGTGAACCAAAGTACAACTTCAGAAGGCATGTTACTCAGAACTCATTGTTCTTCAGAGCTAATGTGCAAGATAAAATCTGTTTGCCATCCCTGCTCTAGACTTTTCTATATTTAATGTACTTAATTTTTAATCAATCTCCTTCTATTATGTTTTGTGCCTACCTAAAGTTAAACATATGAGGGATTTTCAGGTATCAAGTAAAGTATGCTCCTGAGAGATAACAGTTGATTCTCAATATTGATGGTAATTACATTCTGTAAAATAGTGGCTGCAAATACTGAATGAATGAGCACCAAACCATTACTACTAGGGGATATTTCTTCTTTTTATGGGAGGGTGTTTTCAAACTTTTCTTGTCATGAGATAAAATATTAATTACTTGATAAGAGAACATCAGTCTTTTAAATAGTTTTTATTTATTTTATGTTGTAAGTTCCTCATTAAAAGAAAGAAATGATCAGAGGTAGTAGCCATGCTACAGTATCTATTCTGGTGTTTTCTTTTACATGGATGACGACCTTAGTGTGCTTTGTTAAGGAATTTAAGAATCAAGTTTGGATAGAGTCTTAGAAATTGCTCAAATATAGCAATAATATTTCTTCCAGTTCCTTTCAGTCTTTGGAGCCTACAAACTAGATTTAGATTCACATTCAAAGAAGTAACATTCCAGTTTGCTTACAACCAGACATTTTTCAACTATGGATGGGATTTCTTTTTTTCTTACTTCTGATTTTTCTTTGGCTTCTTCCATCTTGAGTGATAGTCATGTTTATTTGTTCAGAGATTGGACTGAGTTGGATCGTTTTTCCCTTTTTTGTTTGTTTTGCTTTTTATTATGTACAGTATATATCCTCTTTCATGTAACTCTGATATTGGCCAGAGAAGGGGGCAAATTTAGTGGTTGCTTATAGAAGTTCTCTATAGAGATTTAAAGCCAGGCTTGAACTTCATTCAGAAGGTATGGAGGCCATTGAATATTTTTTAAACATATAATGCTACGCTCAAACTTATCCGTCAGAAAAATTAAGCTAGTGTCAGTATGAAAGATTAATTGGAGTGGGGGGTACTTCCCTGGTGGTCCAGTGGCTAAGACTCTGTGCTCCCAGTGCATGGAGCCTTGGTTCGATCCCTGGTCAGGGAACTAGATTACACATGCCACAACTGAAGATCCTGTGTGCTGCAACTAAGACCCGCACAGCCAAATAAATAAATTTTTAAAAATTGGAGTGGGGAATAGCTTGGAATAGGAAGTGGGAGGCTTTTGCAATAATTCAAGCAAGGTATTAGGAGTGCCAGGTAGGGTTATAGTGATGGGAATGGAAAGAAAGAGGGTAGAGACAGACTTTCCAGAGGTGGAACATTGTAATATGAATGCGGCTGATATTGGAGAGAATTGAGTTAACAGTGTTTCTAAGGTTTTGGCTTGGGAGAGTTGTGCTGCTGTGGGAAGATCAGGTATAAGAATAAATCTTCGTCGTGAGGGAAAAAAGATGAGTTTAGTTAGAGGGATTTGAATATTTTGAATTGATTGGTGGACCTCTACCACCTGGATGGGGATGTTGTAAGTTTGTAAGATAGAGTTGTTCTTCTATTCTTATACTCTATTTTATACATCTTAGTTGTATCATATTTATAGTAAACTTAAAGAAGTTCAACTATAGAGGTCCAACTAATACAGTGAATAAGAGAGAGCAAGAAAAAGAGAATGAGAAAGGTAGAGATAAACAAATACACATGAAAACTTGTATAGAACAGTTAAGTCTCCCTTTCTACTTTAAAATACACACACACGTTTTGGGAAAAACTTGAAATAGAAGATGTGAATTTGTGCTTCCATGGATACCAAGTGTGAACATCTTACCAAGCTGAATGATTCTAGAGTTTAAAGATAAGTTTTTGTTTTGTTTCAGCAAAGACTCTAAGTGCTTGCAAAGAAATTGTGCCTTATTGGGGAAGTAAGAGGTCTGTTTGTATGGTTTGTTTTGATTTTTTTTCTTAAATCAACTATTTTGATTGAAGTATAACATATATACAGAAAAGTGTACAAAAATCTCAAGTATAAGTGAGTTATCACAAAGTGAACATACCTGTGAAATTACCAGAAAAAGAATTATCAGCAAGTAAGAAACATTCCATCATGCTCCCTCCACAGTATTATTACCATCTTTTTTTTCAAAGGTTATCACTTTCCTATCTCTTAAGAACATAGATTAATATTAATCAGTGACCACTATATAGTCTGTACAGGAAAATTTGGTGCAGAGAAGACATTAAGCATGAAAACTATAGAATTAACTGTAACATTGGGAATTTAAGGCTTAATGCAGATACACTACTGTATTATATACCTTGCTGAGCTAAGGCCATTATACTATATACATAATATTTGTTATATATTTGTTAATTTACAGTTTCTGTTTCCAAAGAGAAATGGTGTGTTAAAGTGAAGTATGTTGTAATGGAAGGAACAGTAAACCAAAAAATCACCAAGTCCGGGGTTCTAATTTAATATGCATAAAGTATGAACAGTATTATTTGAATAGTTACTAAGTCACTTCCATAATTGAAAATTATTCAGAGCAGACTTACTGCCCTAAATTCTGTCTTACAGGAATTATCAGCTATCAGAACATGCTATGCTATATCTTAATGCTTTATTGATAATAGTTTTCATCTCTCCTTACCTATTAGGCTATTACTAGTGGAAGACAATTACCTATCAGCTCATATGGGGCTACACAATGTTGCACACCAGAATTTAATATTAAAGTATGTACATTTTTGACATTTGTGTTTTCTCTGAAAATTAGGAAATTATTATGATTTATCACTTACCTTTTTTGAATGTTGTAAGTCTTGATCTTAATCTTCTAAACCTGATTACTTTTCAATATCCTAGGAAAACAAATTCCTGGACCAGTGTTCTGTATAATAGAGCAAGTCTCACCTAAGTAGTACCCAGTTCTGAGGCCAGGCCTAATAAAGGCCAAATATACATTTCAAGTAATGTTCATATAGTGCTTAGCAGCTTACTGAATTCCTTCCTTGTTTATAAGAGTTTTATTTTGTTCTTTGGGGTATTCTAAACATCTGATTATATCTTTGTAATAGTAATATCTCTTATTTCCTTCAGTTGATTAAATCTGTTAATGGTTTATTTTAGGAAAATGTTAATAATATTGGGGATCCTTGTCTTCTTTCAGTGTTTGATAGGAGTGCTTCTAAATGGTGCTTCTGAAGCACCATTAAGCATGATGCTTCTTTCTGGCATGATGTATGCATTTTATGATGCTAAGAAAGTACTCACTTATTTTTCTTTTATTAAGAATGTTATCAGGAATTATCTACCTTAGCCCTAAAGCCATCTTATTTTATGGAGAATCATTAGAGGCATTTCCATGAAGATCATAAACAAGGCAAGGACACCCACTATTTCTAATTCTATTGAACAGTGCATTAGAAGTATTAGCCCATGCAATTAAACTACAGAAATCAATTAGAGGCATAGAATGGGTAAGCCAAAAGGAAAACTGTCTCATTTTAGAGATGATATGATATAGTACTTTGTCTGGAAAACTCCACAGTCGATGATAAAACTCAAACGGTAAAGTAATTCAGGAAAGTGGCAGGATATCAAATTAACATACAAATATCAGTCTTCATATACACAAATAATAAACAGAAGATATAAGTTTAGGGCAAACCTTACTTATAGTAGCAACAAAGAAAATTAAATACTTGGGAAAAATCTAGTAAGAAATGTGTGAAACCTGTAAGAGGAAAAGTTTTAGACACTCCAAAGACACAGATGTAGACTTGAAAAAATGGAAAGATATCTCTTATTCTTAAATTCTGTGACTTGAAATGATACAGATATCAGTTCTTCTCTAAATTAATTTATATATTTCCTGTAATTCCAATAAAAATACCAAGAACTATTTATTGAAATTATACAAGTTGAAAAAAAGTTCATGTGGAAAAATAAACATGTAAGAATGGCCAGGAAAACACTGGAAAATAAAAACTTTGAAGAGAACTAGCCCTACCAGACATAAAACATACTATATAAATTCTCTGTAATAAAGTGGTGTGGTATAACAATAGAAGAAACAAAAAGAAGATGAAATGAACAGAGAAGAACTACAAAAAACAACTGGGAAACAGGTAATAAAAGGGCCATAAGTAAACACATACCAATAATTACTTTATATGTCAGTGGACTAAATGCACTGATCAAAAGACATAGGGAGGGATGGGATTTCCCAGGTGGCGTAGTGGTTAATAATCAGCCTGCTGGTGCAGGGGACATGGGTTTGAGCTCTGGTCCAGTAGGATCCCACATGCTGTGGAGCAACTAAGCCCATGTGCCACAACTCCTGAGCCTGTGAGCCACAACTATTGAGCCCACCTGCCACAACTACTGAAACCTGTGCGCCTAGATCCCATGCTCTGCAACAAGAGAAGCCACTGCACACCGCAATGAAAAGTAGCCCCTACTCACTGCAACTAGAGAAAGCCCGTGTGCAGCAACTAACACCCAACACAGCCATAAATAAATTTAAAAAAAAAATAGGCTAATTGGATTAAAAAACAAGACCCTTCAGTGTGCTGGCTACAAGAGACTCCCTTTAGGATGAAGGGCACACAGACTGAAAGTAGGTATGGCATAAGTTATTTCATGCAAACAGAAACGATAAGAAAGCAGGGGTAGCAATACTCATTTCAGAAAAAATTAAAACAAAGGCCGTGATGAATCACAAAGAAGGGCAGTATATAATGATAAAGGAATTGATACAAGAAGAGGATATTATACTTGTTAACATATGTGCACCCAATCCAGGAACACCTAAGTATAAAGT